CGCAAAACGGCATGCATACTAAATTATAGTTGTATTTTTTCTTCTCTTAAACTGTTGATTTAAGACTGTGTGGCCTTAGTACACAGTTTATAAGCAGTGAATCCTGTGGATTTACATAAACTCCTGTGTGAACGGTCATGTTAAGTTGCAGTCTTAGCTCAGCACTGTTAGCTGTAACACTGTGTAACAGGGATCTTCAAAATGCTACATTAATTAGAAGCCAAAAAAAGGAAAAGGAGATGTATATAAGAAAGTTAGATCTGTATGTACTGCTTGTAGTAGCTGGCTGTCTACTGTGGAAAAATCATTCAGTGGAAAAAATGGGTGAAGCCTAGTCAGAAAAAGAAAAAAGCAGGTGTTACTGAGAGGTGGTAGTCTTGTCTGTAACAGCTGAATGAAGCTCGTGTGAATCTTCACCTTGGTGTATCTCTTCTACCTGATGAGGCTGTTTGGTACCCTGTTTGGGCTTACAGGCACCTGTTTACTTCAGTTGCGGTTTATTTTGCTAAAGCAGTTCCGTATCATGGGAAGAAAATTACTATGTGTGAATATGATGCTACCTTAGCCCCATGCATATGTGATGTTACTAATGCACTGCAGAAGTCTTTTCTCTGTAGGACTTCAGACATGAAAGATAAGAAGCGATGATGGTGGGGCTAGCATAAGGCATCTGTAGTGATGGCGAGCAAAAGTGTCTAGAACTGATGAAGTGGAACAGTTATTGATCTGGAGTAAAGATCGTTTATCCGTGTGCGCAGGTGTATATGCGTGCAGTATGACGGTTCAGCTTGGAAGTCTGCCTTCCCAGCACAGGGCATGTCGGCTTCTTTTAATGGGTCTGGATGGCTGCTACTTAAATGCCAGCTGTATGCCTTCTCTGCAGAAGACCGGCTTGTTCTTTCTGTCAAGAGTGGCAAGAAGCATTCACCCTGCAGGTAGCTTTAGTAAAGCTAGGCAGAGCTTAAGTAAGTCTATGAATCTTCTACGAAAGTGGCATTATAAATAAAGCTTATTTGGAAGTAAGTTGTAAGTAGTGGCGTTTGAATTTAAATACCCGAGCTAGTTCCATACTGACCAGCTGTGTAGTCATGTTTGTGTAATGTTTGGACTTTATTTGCTTTTAATAGTTGATTTTGATGTGTTAAAGACTTCATTTTTGTCAGAAGTGGCCCAGTATCTGTTGTACTTAACTGCAGTGTACCAAGTTGTGTGAGTTTTAAGAAATCCTATTAAAATACCAAATGAGATTTGAATCTCTGTAGCGATATGCTAAATTGCAAAACTAGAGCATAGGACAAAAGGTCACTGTTTTATCTGTGTGAGTTATAGAACTTTCTTTGTTAATTATGCATTCATCCAACTCTGAATATGTCTTCTGCTATCTAATTAAGTTTTGTGAAGTCATTTAGCGTACTTATATTTAGAACTTAAACTTTTTTGGGTAATGCCATGAAGCATACTGATTTTTTGACAAAAAAAGACCACAATTAAATGTTACTGTCTTTGTGCATATCTTTCTGCTGTCTCTAATGCTCTGCAGAAGTTTTAAAATGTATTTCTGAGGACATGAATATGACGAGTCTTCTTTGTGTATTGAAATGTAGATGTATAGTGAGAGCTGATGTCTATTTTAGTTAATTGTTGTATTTGCTAGGCTTTTTTAGATTGGTGCCCCTTTCCTCCCCACCCTCCAAGCAGTTTGTCTACTGCATTTACTTACTATGAGTCAACAAAATCTTCTCAGCTGTGGCCAAGTTTTGTTATTTATTGTAGCACCGTTCTTCAGCATTTTAGCTGTGTGGATTGTATGGTTAATATCATCTAATTAAGCACTTTTTCAGGTTAAAGAGAATTGAATCACATGCAATCTAGTTTTTGAGTTGGAGCACTTTTAATTAAAAACGCTGAAGTGTGTAGCTGAGTAATTTTTTTTCTAGCCTCAAACACGAAGGAAAAAGCCAGTATAGCTTCTCCATCTCTTGTTAAGAAACTTTAACTAGGAAGAAAATAGAATTTGATCTCAACGTTCCATTAAATTTATAATAAAATAGGAAGAATTAAATTACTCTGACAATTTACATCTATTAAACAATCTGTCCTTAGAGCTATGATTTTGCTTTTGGACAGCGTGATGGCTTGCTCTCAGAAAAGAATTGAAGCTGTTTTATGTAGGAGCCTTATTTTATATAATTTTTCATTGTTTATAGGATTTTTAAAACTTTTATCAGGAAGCTGGTTTTCCTAAATCCCATGCCTAAGATGGAAAGATGAAATCTAAGTAGTCCCTTTAGAGAAATAAGAGCTGTAGGCAAGCTTCCCCTGTCCTCCATATTAAAAGCTAAAAAAGGGCTCTCTGCAAATACAATATTCAATCTCTGCTGGTTTTCCAAATGTCAAACTGCAAGACGAGTTTATTTAAATATTTTCTTAGTGTTACTTGTTGACATAACAGTTGTCTGAGTTCCCATCAGGGTGTCATTTGATCACTAGTAGGAAAGGCGTAAATTAGACAACAAAAAAAGAAAAGTTGAGAACCTTAGAGCTGGAACAGTTTTGGTGGCCTATAAATACTTGTCATTATCGGTTTCATGCTCTTGGGACTTGGCTAAAACATGCTTTCCGTATTGAACAAGAGACTAGATTGAATTAAATTTATATAATCTTTGTTGACTGCATTGCAGCATTGTGAAGGTCCAAAACTGTTGTAGCTCAGTTCACTCAGGTTTTCACTACCTTGCTTTTTAGATTACCGTCATTTATGTAGTACATGTACATACACACATCTGTTTATCTACATAGATAGATCGAGTTGTGTTTGTATATGTATGTGTATACGAATGCACATGCTGTTACCTGTATGTTTTGTTTTGTCCTGGATAAATGCCAGGTGCCCACCAAAACCGAGCTATCACTCCCCCTTCTCAGCTGGAGAGGGGAGAGGAAATACGATGAAAGGCTCGAGGATCGAGACAAGGACAGGGAGAGATCACTCACTAATTACCGTCAGGGACAAAACAGACTGGACTTGGGGAGAAAAGGGAGTTCAGTTCATCACCAATCAAATCAGAGTAGGATGGTGAGAAATAAAACCAGATCTTAAAACACCTTCTCCCCACTCCTCCCTTCTTCCTGTGCTCAGCTTCACTCCTGTTTCTCTCCCTCCTCCCCCTGAGCGGCGCAGGGGACAGGGGATGGGGGTTACGGTCAGTTCATCACACATTGTCTCTGCCGCTCTTTGTCCCTCAGGGGAGGACTCCTCACATTCTTCCCCTGCTCCAGCGTGAAGTCCCTCTCACAGGAGACAGTTCTCCACAAACTTCTCCAACGTGAGTCCTTCCCATGGGCTGCAGTTCTCCATGAACTGCCCCAGCGTGGCTCCTTCCCACAGAGTGCAGTCCTTCAGGAACAGGCTTCTCCAAGCATGGGTCCCCCATGGGGTCACAAGCCCTGCCAGCAGACCTGCTCCAGCGTGGGCTCCTCTCTCCACGGGTCCACAGGTCCTGGCAGGAGCCTGCTCCAGCACGGGCTCTCCACAGGGTCACAGCTTCCCTCAGGCATCGACCTGCTTTGGTGTGGGGTCTCTTCCATTGGCTACAGGTTGATATCTGCTCCACCGTGGACCTCCATGGGCTGCAGGGGCACAGCCTGCCTCACCATGATCTTCATCATGAGCTGCAATGGAAGACTCTCTGCTCCAGTGTCTGGAGCACCTCCTCCTCTCTCCTGCTTCACTGACCTTGGTGTTTGCAGGTTATCTCTCACATGGTCTCACTCCTCTCTCTAACTGCCATCTCCCTGCAGTTTTTTTTCTTCCCCTTCTTAAATATGTTATTACAGAGGCGCTACAACCGTCGCTGATTGGCTTGGCCTTGGCCCGCAGTGGGTTTGTCTTAGAACCGTCTGGCACTGGCTCTATCGGACATGGGGGAAGCTTCTCACAGCTGCTCACAGAAGCCGCCCCTATGGCCCCCTGGCTACCAAAACCTTGCCTTGCAAACCCGTAACACTGTATCAGCACAGTAACCTGAGCCTTGCTGCTTTTCTTGTGTTCCTGGTGAATCCACTAGTGCAGGTGATGTTTAAAGTCACCAGCCCCGAAATCCCACCATGCCCCAAATTCCCCCAGCCCCACCGATGTGCCTGTGGCTGACTTCAGCTGCGCCGCCGGCTACCCAAACAGCCCTTGGGTCCCCCAGCTGCCCAGGCGCCAGGCCTGCCTGCTAAGCCAGGGCTCTTCTAGGAATGATAGCGCCTGCCTGGAGAAAAGATTAATCTGCGATCTCTCTTTTTATGTCTTCGATTTCCTGATTTTAAAACAGAATTCTGTTTAGATAGTTCTAAGAATTTTAAAAATGATTTCTATGGTAAAAATTGTTAGAGGTAGTGATCAGTTCCTTATGTTTTCCTCCCTTTTATTTGAAGGGAAGAGTAAAAGTAAACTTGCACCTTAGATATTTGGTGCACTTCCTGACTCGTGTGTGACTTGACTGGGGCAAGGGACGCTTTTTTGGTCTTGCAACTGTTTGGGTCTAAGGAAGAGATAGTATTGGTTGGCTGTGGAAAATTACACGTTTAGTTGTGTAAAGTGAGGTTGTATTCATCTCTCTCTGTCCTGTTAACAAAGCCTGTATTTTTCCTGGAAGTAGGGGAGAATTAGAAGAGATCTCAAGAAACAGAAGTGCAGAAAATGAGAATAGAGAAGGAAAGGAAATGATGCTTAAAGGGGGGTTAGTTGCATCTGAAGTGAGAGATGAGTAACAATATTTGAAAAAAATGCTATAATGTTGGCTAAACTGGACTAGTAGCCCACAATATAACTTGGTAACAATATGCTTTTAAAAAATACAGATAATTTTTATTTCATCAAGCAACACTTATCCTATATCTTGTTAAAGTGTTTCAAGCTTTGTAGAAACTAGCAAATACTGCTTTGGAGATTAAAGTTGTACAGGTATCATGTTAATTATTCCTTTTCCATGTGTTCTTGTTTACAGACCAGTCTTTCCATATGGGGATGGGGAAGTCTTGGCGTTGTGCTTTTTCTAGTAACTTTTGGACCCTTCGCTATATTTTACTTTGCATTTTATATCCTCTGCTTTGTGGGTGGGTAAGTATACTACTTAGTGTTATGTATAATTACTATGAAAGTAAAATTTTAATGTGTATGATAGCAGATAGTTTGCTCTGAAAATCTGAAGTGACTTCAATGTAATTGGTAGTTCCACATTTGAGCAGCTCTTTGAGCCAAGTTTTTTTTTCTCTTGAAATGTCAATTTTATTGAAAGTAGGTTTTTTTGCTGTTGAATAGTGCTGGTACTACTTTTGCCCAGGGAAAACAAACAAAAAAAGGTCTGAATTTAAAAAAACCCGGTAGCTATTTATAATGGGTATTGGAGGATGAATACTCATGTAAAACCACTGTTAACTTCAGTACATACTTTCTATTACTGTGTCAGTTCTTTTCCCAGCTACTTACTAATAATTCTATCCCCTTGCCTTATCACAATCTCATTTTCCCGCCTAAGGTACTTCATTCATAGGAAAGTGAGTGTTTTCCTGGGTGTGTGGAAATAATGCTACATCTTGAGCACATAGATCAGTTCAGCCGCTGTAGACATTTCGCACTTTATCTGTATAGACAGGAAGGGAGTAAACAGGTGATGTCTTTATAGTCTTTAGCACCATTATTACATTGTATATTATAATGCCTGCGTAGTAACCATTAAAACTTTCATTTTTAATGCCAAGTCTGAAAGCGTTAGTGGGATGTTCCTCGTTTCTCTAAGGAAGACTGATCTACAGGACAGTAATGTTTCTAGGGTCTCCAAGCCCTGCTTGACTTCTAATGGAGTGTTTAGGCTATCTGGCTATCTTTAATGTTTTTTTTTTTCTTCCTTCTTTTGAAACACCACTTTAACCTTCTTACTGGACGCAGTACAGAATGTATCTATATTCCCGTATGTCTCATCAAAAGATGTGATAGAGTTTAGTGGCTAGAATTAGAGCTGCTACGCTTGGGTTTCAAGTGTATTAAAATTGGAATCCCATCTCTGAGAAATCAGAATAGTCAGTCTACTAGGGCGAGGACTTCTAAGTAAATGCTTTTGTCTTATGAAGTCGTGGTACGGGTATGATTGGCATATTTTGGTGGCTGTTTGTCCAGGGCAAAAGGCAAAGCATTCGTGCAGAGGGCAAGAGTTTGTCCATGTACTGTTTGTATTACTCTTCCTTAGTATTTGCAGTATGAAAAATAATGTGGGATATAATAATTTCTTAAAAGCTTATTCTTCTTGCTCAATTTCAGTTGCTTGGCTTTTCAAAGCGAACAGTCAAAGCAGTCTCTCATGGAGTGTATCTGAAGTCAGCTACAGTTTGACACTGTCAGACTGCCTCTGGTGCCTGAGCTTGCTTATGCTCAAGTCAACTCTGATATCTCTGTGCTGTGATTCTTTTGCTGCTTTGGTTCATTTTTGTAGCTAGTCAGTGAACATTGATCTTCTTAAGGATAAATTAATCTTGTGGTAGTGTATCTATTAAAGCAGAATTTGTATCCATCTTCCTATTATGTGTTTACTTAACATAGATAGATAGGAAGTCTCAGCCCTTCCAGTGGAATGTCATTACTTCATTACCTTAACATACACATCTTCTTGGCCAAGGCTGTGATCTGGCCCTTTCTTACACTGTTAATCTTTTTCAAAGTGACATACCTACTTTAGGTTTTAACATTCAGCATACAGATCCGTGAGTGCTAACTAGGTCAGATAGGTTTATGTCTAAATTCTTCTTGCCTGCTTTTTCTTTTTGAATTAGTTCCTGTGAAGTTACGCAAATACTTGGTCCTGTTTCTCTTAGAAACAAACAGAAATTAGTGTTGTGAAGTAACTTTCTCACTTATGATTAGCAATTTTGTATCACAACAGTATTTATAGAAGTGAAGAAAATGAAAATTTGATTATGGTTCATGATTACAGTGGTTCCCTTAATACTTACTGTACCCTTATCTGGAGCAAAATAACAGTTTTGGATATGGATTTTTATGGTAGAATTTTATGTTGAAACTTGCAGTTCTTATCCAATTTGGCACGCAGTTTTTTAACTTTTTATACTTGCTCAAAAACAGTGGCCTGTATCAATAGTTTCCAAATTCCGCTACCTGGGAGTCCACTTTTGTCCCATTTTGCAGTTCAAACAAAAGAAAGTATTGAATCATGGCTGGTTGCGCTGTTAGTATTGACCTAAGCATTTAACTCACATATGCCAGTGAGTTGTGAAGGAAGACAGTGTTGATGCCATAGTTGTATTCACATAACCAATCTGTTTATGTGGTTTCACTTCTGTTATGTGCTATCTAATTATTTCTTTTTTATTTACTCTTAACTCTGTATTACGCATACATCTTTTACACAGACAGCTTGTGTGCTGTTGTGTGCAGGGAAGGATACTGAAACCATTTGTGTGTACGGATAAAGCTTTAAATCAAAAGTTGTCTTTGTTTAATTTTGTTTTAAGAGTGACTTACAAAATGTTAGCTTTTTTTTGTTTCGTAGTACATCCTTCTTCAATTCAAGATCTGGTAACTCATTGCTTAGGGAATTGAGCTCTTTCCACTGGAAGCAGGAGGCAAAAGATAGATATTGTTTCTTTAACCTATGTAGCCAAGATTATTACAAGGTGTTAATCTTCATGAAGTATTTTTTGCCTCTACCTTTAAGTATTGGTGCAAACCCCTTAACCGGAGTGCTGGACTTGTCTTACTGTGTGCCTTTTATTTATACCATTTGTTTCTTACCTTACTCTCTCTCCTTCCCTCTTTCAATCCTAAGGAAGTAAAATAAAAATAATGTGCATTGCAGCTCTGCCAACAGCCATAGGCTTCTGATGTTGTGAGAATTGAAATTTCATGGACCATCAACTGCTCTGCCATTTAAAGGAATTTGCTCTGTCGTCAAAAAACATAATTACTGATACTTTATCACATCCGTATATATGTGACTGGCTGGCTACATTGATGATTCGAACTGCTGACCAAATCGTGAGCGGTTCTGAAACTGCTTTTTAACTTTCACAAAGCATTCGGCTGAGGCTGTCACTTTTCAGACTTGAGAGGAAAATGATAAATCTGTAGTCCTTTTTTCTGTCTTTCACCTTTGTTTTGTTGTTAATCTGTCCCTTTGAAAAGCTGGCCTTCCAATAATACTTGGAAAAACTTAACAAAAAATTTAAGTAAAATATAATCTCTTCCTTTCTCTATTCTATTTATTTAGAGAAAAGACTGAAATGGTTTCTCATTTACTGTATTGAATATCCTCTTGATGAATTAGATAAACATTTACACTAGAAGTTTCTGATTAGCTAACAGATACACTGAATGGTCAGGCGATGTATCCTTCTATGATACACACAAGATTTGAATTAGAGAATAAAATATATTTATTTTTGCTATAGAGGCAGAAGCTTCTAGCATTTCTAGCTTAAAAATAAAAATAGTTAAAGGCATCTAAGTAATTGAGCATATATTTAAACTATATTGGTAGTATATTAGTATATTTGAATGAGTTATAAACTTTAACAGTGTCATAATATTTGAAAGAGTACAGATGTATAATCTATAGCTAGTTACTTCCAAGGCTTCAATCCTTTTGAATAAAAGAAAAGCACGTCTCCCCGCCTTCCCCGCTGCCCCTTTCTTCCAAGTTGCTGGTATATGTTTGAAGTTAAAACCGTTTTTTTGAGAAAAGAAAAAAAAAAGTGTTTCGGGTATACTGTTTTCTTTAAAAGACGACTGAGGTTTCTAGTAGAGACGTGGTAGATCATAAAAATAAAACCCAAACTTATTCATAATTAAAATGTTTCACTCCCAGGTGAAACATTAGTTAACTTTTAAGCATAGTGAACCTAATACTGAGATTTTTCTAAGCAAGTTTTTGTCCTTGAACTGAACTGTTATGCCACTACCACTATTGGTCTTAGGATTGCAAAGCTATCTAGAAGTATCTGGAGCAGAAGAGCAATTAGACCTGATTTTATTTTTTTGTCTTCGTGTGTAGAATGTTCACCTGGTTGGCAGATGAAGATGGCTGTAAGCGAATCAAAGTATCAAGTGAAATTTTCTTATGCATTAAGAAGTTACTGATAATTTTGTGGGGGTTTTGGAAGATTTTTTGGGGTGGGTTGTGAGGTTTTTTTTGGTGTTTAGTTTTGTGAGTTTTTTTTTTCCACTGGAATTATTCAAATATAAATGACCACCTCCTGGCTTCTGAACTACTGAGCCTCTGGAGTACTTAAAAATAATGTTTCCCAGTTTGCGAATTAAAACCTTCAAATGGCGTATTTTTACCTTGGTTAGGAATTTTACTCCAATTGTATAAGTAAGATCATTGTAGATCAACTGCAGTCTATAGTAAAAGAACGTATTATTTCAGCGCATTTGAAGTCTGGAATAACTTAGTGAACTCCTGTGGTCACAAATGTTGGTCAGACGGCCTTTAAATTGAATGCTTCGAAATCTGTGTAAGAAGCTGTGCATGTTAAGCCATCCCAAGGCTAGTGTGACCAGCAGTAACTTCATATTCTCCCTTTTTTTTTTTATGCTTGACTTTTGAAAGGCTACATACTTTAGTTATGCTGTAATTAGCACAGCCTTTAGGTTTTAATCTGTTTCTTAGTAAAACCAGCTTTATGTTTACATGTTTTTGTGCCCTAGTGTCATAAGCTGTAAATAAATTATTGCTGTTGTAGCAAGGTTAAAGTTTTGGTAATGATTGCTTTTTCCCTTATGCCTTAATTATAGCGTAAAGAAAACAATAGTAAAATTATCTGCTGTCCTGCTTAACTATAAGCCGTAATTTAAATCACTGTAGAATTGTGAGGGAAGAAGATAATTAATATCTGATCTAACATTCTTCTGAAATAAATGGTCCAGGAGTATATTTATTTGTATTTTATGTGCTGAATTAATTAAAAACAAGACAACAACAAAGAACTCACAACCACTAAAAAACCCCAACAACTTGTGTTTGACTCTAGACTTTTTGCTTGATTCTGTTCTTATGCAGCCTGGCAGGACTGCTGGGTTGTGTTGGTTTTGTTCTGTTTTGTTTTTTCTTTGAAGCTTAAAAGAGGTTCATGGTTGAAAATTTTCTTACTTCTTGTTTAAACATACGCAATCAGTAGTTACTACACTTACTACATCGGTTTCTTCCTGGTCTGTGTTTTTGTGGCTTATGCCACAATGCAGTGGCCTAAATGTGTCTCTAAAGAGTTTATGTCTTCATAGCATTGAAGTAAAAGAATCTTTGTGTAAATACAACCAGAGCAGCTTTAGGTATGTACCCCTCTTTCCATCTAGTAATATTTATGAGCGTAAGTAGCGTGCCATCGCAGGTTCTTCTCATGCATCAGGCGGTGTAGTACAAATTGTGCTATATGGATCAGCTAGGCGATGAGAGTATATCAAAATTGATAATACAAGACTGGGAAACTTCATACTTAGTATTGTCCAGTTATTTCATGCTATGCTGTGAAAGAGCACTGCACTAGGACAGTAAACAGTGAGCATTGTCATATATTGTTGTTTTATAACTTGCTGTGAAATATTTTCTGCAGAGGGGAAGATGACTTATTCTAGCTGGTCTTTCTTTTTTTATTTTAGGGGTTTTGTGGTTACTCTTTTATTTGGAAAAAGCAACTCAGAAAAATACCTTGAGCAGTGTGAACATTCGTTTCTTCCTTGTACATCAGTTGGGATCCCTAAGGTAAGGAGAGTTTACTGGTCTTAACTTCTAGATCAGATCTGATAACTCTGCAAATTAGAGTAACACTAATAATCAGTTTTAATCTAAGAATTTCCCAAGGTAAAAGAGCCTGCTTATATGTTTTGAGTCAGCTGCAATGTGCAAGCAAAGTGCAAGATTTTTCCTTTTTGAAATACAAGCTTTTTAAGCATGTATGGAAAGTCTGTTTTAAGTATTGTTTCTGGCTTCAATATGAGAAATGGGTAAGATGTAGCTGGCTAGTATTATCTGTGAAGGAATTACTAAACCATTCCTTTCTAGACTACTAGTGTGTTTTGGGTTTTTTTAGGGGTAAGTGGTAGCTCCTTCTTGCTTTTTCTTGCAAGATTGTTGTGACTGTGTAGGATCCTTCCACCATTGGATCTGTAGTCTCTCCAGTTTTGCTTCTTTTGTTTTTTTGTGGTCAAAAAGTTGCTTGTCTAAGTAAGAAGATTAAACTGGTAATAAAGTCTAGATTTACAGTACTTCAGGGATGTAGAAGCTGTTATATTTGGCTATTCTTAAGACCAAGCAAAAATACTGGAAATACGTATATAAATGCAGCAGTGGGATCCGCTTTTCAACTCTTTATTTCTGAATTGTTAACACACACATCATTTTGGTTGATGTACCCAGATTCAGAGTTTCTAAATGGATACATCTGCATCTGTTTAGTACAGAATAGATTCTTAATAGCCAAAGGGTAGAATTTCTAGGAATTCCTGGTTTATGAACCAATACATCTTAGCAGCTAGGAGATTTATATATATCTTGGCCTAATCTGTTTGTACTCATCAGAGCAGAGAAAATGCTTTAACCCAAAGATTGCTGGTTATGTTATATTTTATCTCACAACTGTTTTGACTGAAACATCCTGCCCTTTCATAGCTGTTCAGGTCACTACACTTAATGTTTGTGAAAGGTGGGGAGGTGTTCAACTTTGTTACCATTAGCACATGGAAAGAAATTTGTTTTGTGATTTAGCCATATGTTTTCTAATCACAGAACTTCTTTTGTGACTCGTTCATTTTTCAGTTGGTAAGTGTCCTTTTCACTGAAATCTTTGAATCTGTTGGGATATATCTGGAACTTAAGTATATGCTAAATCATAAAGTAACATCACTGATCCAAATGAAATTATAATATAAAGTTTAAGGCTGAAAAAAGGCAAGTCAGCAATCAACCACTGATTCTGTTCTGTTAATGAAGCCTCACCTCAGGGGACTAAGGTTCTTGGTGCTGTATGGACTTTAGCTTCTATGTTATATGAATTGTGGAGTGTTGCTTATGGCCCGTGTTTTGAGAGAAGATTTACAGGAAGTGTTTCTGTCTTTTAGATTTCCTTTACATTACTGAAACTTTTTTCACATTAATGTTACTTGTTTGAGCTCAGTACATATGTATGCTCTTGTTGCTGTATAAAATCATAGAATGTGGGGTTTTTGTGTAATCCGTGCAAATTTGGTAGTTTAACTTTTGATTTGAGTGTGGGTTGTTGACAGATACACTTTTGTCAACTGACCTGTCTTGACTAATCTCTGGATTGAAGTTTTGTAGTGGGGAGGTATTTAGTTTTACCTGGCTTACCAAATGTCATTTGAAGTTGTTCTCCAACTAAAATATGTTTGTTTTCTGCAATAGTGTTTTGTATTTCTTTTTTTCCACTGTATTAAAATAGCATTAGCTTTTTAAGCTTTTCAGCTAGCAGTGCAAGATGAGTCCTAACCAAAACCAAATGCGTGGTTTGCTTGGGATTGCTATTTGCCATTTCTGTATGAAATTTCCACTGACTTATTTTTATTGGAAAATAATATTTTTGAAATTGTTTTCATGTTTAAAACTATTGTGGCCTTAAATGGTCTGTCTTGAACAATTAATATTCTTCAGGTGGCTGGTGTATAGGTTATGCTTGTTCTAAGAACCAAGTACAAACTGAACTGACCTCAATATAAAATTCTGTTATGATACTGTGTTTTGAGAAGTAATCTGATAATACAGCTTCTTTACAAGAAGCTCTTTTCCCCAAAGGCAGTCAGAGTTTTATGAGTTGTTTTGAGGGTTTGTTGTTGTTGTGGGATTTATTTTTAGGATAAGGTGAATGTTCAAATGCTTGATTTTAATGAAATTTATTGTAATTCAGACACCAGAATTGTGGATGGAAATAATGTGTAGAATGTACCAGACTCTTAAGTTACAACACAGGATTTGGTGCAGACAGGTTTCCTTGGTTGCCACTTACTATACTTCTTAGCAAATATATAATGAAAGCCTCACATTAAGGAAAAAGTTATGTACGTTTGATGGAAGATTATTTACCTTTCTGCCTTTTTTTTTTTTTTTGAATGCACACAGGGAGGTTTAAAAATTAGGATTAGACTTGCTTTTACAGGTCTGTTTTATATAACTTTTGTGTCAGGAATATACTCAATGATGCTATAATGTACTGGCTCTATAGGATACACAATTGCCTGCAGGTTTATATAAAATAACGTTGAGTGGCAAGCAAGTTCAAGCCTTCTGAGCTGTTAACTGAAATGCCGTTTGCAGTAAAAATTATAGATTCAATCCGACTTTAACAGAAGTGTGGAATGTTCAGTTATTATTATAATTGATGTCTCTTACGCTTCATCCAAAAGACAAGGATTTTCTGTAGGCTGGGTGCAATATTGTCAAATTGTACAATCTTCTGTAAGAGAACAGTGATAATTTAGAAATGTTAGTTGTATAATTGATCCCTGACTAGTCTCTGAATCTCATTTTTTTGAGTCAGTTGGTCATATGTTGTGTTATGGATTTGATGGAGATGTGTAAATCCCCTGTGTCTTGTCCACTCATGAAAGCCTGTGACTGCGAGTATATGATTTGGGAAATAATGGCACAGTCCAGTTGAGGAGTTTTTCATACTTAACAGTTACCTAGAGTAGTTTCAGAAAAGGACTTCAAAAATATCTATTAGTGCAGTGAAGCAAAAGTCTGAAATCTGCTCAGTCACTTCAGTTACATGCTTGTGGAACCTGGGTGTCTTTACTTTGTGCTGCATTTCACTTTATGGAGTGGGCGTCACATGTTCCTCATAACAGCTTCCTACCTGCTTAAAATGAAGTAAGTAGGTGTCAAATTTAACAATAACAGGTGATACTCATTCTTCCTAACTAATAGTTTAATACTGGTAGAGTATGTCAGACTAATACTGTGTATGAAGTGACAGTCGATTAGGACAGTTTTCTTCATGTGAGTTGTGTCCTTCCTTTAGGTCCATCTTCTAAGTCTGTGTCTGGAAGGCCAGGCTTAAAACTGGCAATACTTCCCAAGTGAGAACTACAGTCAGCTGTTGTAGCTGCAATGAGATAAAACCAGCTATTCTAAATTTTGGATGTCTTCAGACGTATTAAAAGCAAATGACATTATTCTGCATGTACACAAACATTTCACTGGAGAAACAAGAATATGACAGAATGGTCCAACATTGTAGTTGGCTTGACTTTGATCAGGAGGTTGGACGAGATGAATTCCTGAAGTCCAGACAGAAACATGAATGCTATGAATCTATGAACATTTAGATCTTTACCAAGTAATCTTACGTATTCTCTGTGTGTCCCTCGTTCTCTTTCTTCTGCCTGCTGCCTTTTTCGCTGCTACTTTTTATTCTGTGTTTTCCACATGTGGATTTATGCATGTAGTCTTCAAACTTCAAAATGCTCTTTTAACAATTTTGTTTGGCAATTTGAACTATGCTGTGCGTAGTAAAAATATTTAATCATTCCAATCTGTATTTTTTTGATACTTTTGACACTGTCAAGACAAAAATACTTTGCAAATTCATTTCTATGTAGCTGGAATATTTTTTTGAATATGTCAACTTTAATCATATTAAAGTAGCAATGAACTGTTGCCTTGTCGTAAAAAATATACGGAATTTTGCAACCAAATAGTTTTGTGTTTTTGTACAGAGTTGGTTAAGTAGGAGGAGGAATGTTTTCTGGCCTCAGGTGTTTCTCTGCCATTCACTATAACTGGTTTAAATGAGAGATACTTCGGGAGAGTCATGTAAAATGGAAACATGGGACATATGGTTTATAATTTTTTCATTTATGGTTTTTGGCAGTTGTTCTGTGTTTCCAATAGTTGTAACTTTCTCTAGATCAAAGAATAAAATAACTTGGATTTTTTTGAACAATAGTGCAGGTTGTTGTGTTGTTATTTCTGTGAAAATAAAGAGGTTTATTGCAGACTTTGTCTAAAGTTTGTAGAAGGACACTGTATTAGTCCACTCAGAGAAGCACTGATAAAGGGTGTTCTTTTTTAGTATGTCACTTGCCAAATGTCAGCTCTGATGAAGTCATTCCTGGAGTTAACTGCTCCGAGTTGCGAGTCCTTCTATAAAATAATTTTTACCCTCTCCGCAATTACTGTTTTAAGACTCGTCTGTGAGGTAACAATGGTAAAAAGAGAGTAATTTCTCTTCTGGCATATAGAATAAACTGAGATGGAGAAGGAAACTGAGAGAAAGAAAAACCACCCAGATGAACAATTACCTGCCTGAGTTTGCAGAAGTTTATAATCAATATGGAACTGGGTCTTGCTCACGAACGATCTTGTCCTGCTGTTGTGTCCCCACCTTCTTCTGTTTATAACTATTTAAGTTTGTTGGTTTTTTTTTTTTTTCTGATGTAGTATTTTAGCAAACTTGCTCCTTCACAGTAAGCAAGAAGTAGGTTTTTAGGTTAGTTTCTCACCTTATGATATAGGGAAAAATACAGATAGTGTTGTTACCCAGAGAGGTGGTAGTTGCCCCATCCCTGGAAACACTTAAGGTCAGGTTGGATGGGGCTCTGAGCAACCTGCTCTAGTGGGAGATGTCCCTGCTTACTGCAGGGGGGGTTGGGCTAGATGAGCTGTAATGATCCCTTCCAACCCAAACTGTTCTATGGTTCTATCTTATCTACTCTATTAATTATAATAATAAGGAAAATGTATAAAGTTGTTACTGTAAGTATACATGTCATAAACAGTAGAGCTGATTTTCAGTTATAGCTAAAACATACAAAATTACATATCCTAATCTCTTTCAAGTGCATAGAAGAAATGAAACGTGAAGCCAGACCTATTAAGATTGACAGAAGACTGACAGGTGCAAATATAATTGATGAGCCTTTGCAACAGGTAAGTTCTAACCAGGACTATTTAACCTATTTTCATTTTTGCAAGTATTGACTGTGTAATATCTAAGAGAGAGACAAATAGAAGTTGAGAAATTTTATCATATTGGAGAGTGGTCTGTGGAAAAAACATTGAGGATGGGCCAGGATATTGGGCAATATTTGAATCTGTTTTCTCTATGTTATGGTTTCTCAGCATAGCGGTGGTGAATGCATGTAAACCAATATGAAAAAGGTTTCAGTGTGCGAGTTGTAGTTTTTCACTCACAGTTTCATAACGGTAGAGGGAGTATGGTTGACTGCGTAAACCTTTTAAGAAGACTGCTGTTGCATTATCAGGCACAAAAAGCTATTTTATATTTTGTTGTCTTTTAGTCATTAGTTCATCTTTCTTTTTTCCTTTCTAATTTCAGGTAATCCAGTTTTCGCTGAGAGACTATGTGCAGTATTGGTATTACACTCTAAGTGATGATGAATCGTTTCTTCTGGAAATCAGGCAGGCTGTTCAGTATGCACTTGTTCAGTTTTCTGCCAGGTAAGATTATTTGTATTTACATCGATACACTGTCCAAGCAAGTGGACAACCTGTGTGGGTTGTATGGTAGTAGATGAATGATTAAGTTTATCTATTGGCGTAGTTCAGTGCATTTAACAGAAAGAACATTTAAAATGTGAAGATCATAATTAAGAACTGCAGTCTTTTGCTGATCCCTTAAGGCATGAATGGAGATGATGTTTGTAGTCATGGTCTTTTGCAAAATGGCCTTTTCAAAACTTTGATTAATGTCTAAATTTACTGAGTAGCTGTTTTTCTGCAACTTAAGCACAGAGTTGCATGAATCATCACCTTTTTATATGCAGGTCTGTTTCATAGAAACAGCAAGCCTGTTCCCAATGTAAATCAGTCTGAAAGCCTTTAATTCAAATACGTGTATCAGCTCGGATAATTTGTAAAAGTGGTCTTACTCTTCAGTATTTAAGAACAAGGAGTATTTTCAAAGGCATAGTAATCTTGGAATGAAATGACATGTCATGTGTGTAATTCTTTTTAAAATAGGATTATTTGGTTCAGAACAAATGGATAGTTTATTGATTGTCCCGTTTTTTTTCTGCTGTTGCTTAATCAAGTAGCAGGAAGTCAGGGGATTTATCTGGGAAACAATGTATGTTCTCTAGTATAGCTGAATTCTTAGCCAAGGTACCACATACCTTTATATCCAACTTCTTTGTTAAGTAATGATTTCAGGTATTCATCCCACGGTGCTGATTGTTATGTTTTCTCTTCAGAGGAGGTTGTGGGTCACCTAAACGTAATCAACTTCTTTGCAATTTTGAGGTGGTTTATCCCCTCCCTCTATTGAATTGAAAATGCAGGTCGGTGTGCTTTTCTGACAAGAAAGGTCAAAGATGGAGAGCTAGGTTTAATGCTAGGAAAAATTCATTATAATAAAATCTTATTGATTGTGAAATAATAGATGTCCTAGGAAACAGTGTTGGAAATAGTGAAAACTAGGCTAAATAACCAGTACATTACAGCAAGCAATCCTGTGCTTATGTGAGATGTACCTGGCTGCCCAGCTGTGGTGGTTTTGTCTATCTGAGGAAGCTACTTCATTGAGCAGTATCAAGCACTGGGTTTGTGTCAAAGAAGGGCAAGTTATAGCCAATTTCATTGTTTTTTCTATGGTACTATAGTACTTCAAAAATAGCCACCGCTCCCTTGCAGTTGTATTCTTCTGTACAAATCGGATTGATTTCACAGGACTGCAGCAATTGATTGTTGTTGTTGAGGGAAGATGGTCTGGTGTATTTGTAATGGTAGTAGTTGGATATAGCTGTAGCAGTCTTAGATTGGTACCATCATCTCTAATTCCATGTACCCTGTGAGCTTCTGTGAAGGATGAGTACAGCGGGATAGATTTTTTTTGGCCTGGAGAGTTTGGAAGAACGATGTCAGGCCGCCACCTAGTGTGTTCCTACGGTTTGTGACTCCGCGGGTGCTGGAGCTGGAACGTTGGTTGCTTTGGTTGTCTGCCCTTTGCGACAGCCCTGCTGCTTATTTCCACATCTAGATCTTGCAGTAGGCTTCCCTCTCTTTCAGGGTTCCTTATCCCTTTCTCTCTTTTTGAGGGAAGAAAGAGCAGGTGAGGGAATAAATACAATAAAGGAAGTGTTGCAGAAGGATTCTGTTGTAACAAAATAGGTGTCTGAGAGAATTCAGGTAGTGGAATACTTAGTGCGCAGAGTAAAAGCCATCACTAACATTTAGCTTCATTATAACTGTAACACACAAATGCCTTTGCAGTTTGGCTAGTAAGACACGGACATTGTAAAAATATCTCTGCATCTTTTTCATGCCACTAAGGAAATAGCTTTGTGCAAATCTAGCTGTGACTATTACCTGATGCTAACCTGTGTGCGTTGTTGGAGATTTGCACTAATTAGCTCCTGTATAACTGTGGAATCCATTGTTGGTAATACTAGGTCACTTGTAGCTTCAAGTGAAACGTGTTTTCGCACTCATGCATACGCTGCCAGTTCGGAAGAGAAGGATTTTGTTTAGATACCTTCCAAAATGTTAGAAAGTATGGCTGAAAAAGATCCGAGGAGTATTGTAGTTAAGTTTTAGTTTAGTTAAGTTTAGTTTTAGGTTGTAGACTGTTTATATCAGGATTTTTCACAGATATTTGATAATGTCATGAATTGGAACACTATTCCAGATACTAATGTTGACCTTAAAGTAATTCAAGCATAAATATTAATGTGGTACGAGAGCGGTATTTTACAGTATTTGATTTATTTTCAGTGGATAGGCAGTTAGGAGACTGATTTATTTCTTTGCTTTTACGTGTTTACTGTCAATGTGGTTCTTGGCAGGGAGGAAGGAGAGTAGAAATTTATTACTGTTCTGTGTGTTCAGGATAAAATAATTCATTTTCATGGATGTCCTTTTCTGATAGGTCAAAGGAAACAGACTGGCAGCCTTATTTCACTACACGACTTGTTGATGACTTTGGCACTCATCTTCGAGTTTTCAGAAAAGCTCAGCAAAGAATAGCAGAGAAAGGTGATCAGATGAAAGGTAATGTAATGATTTAAATATGTTTTCGTTGAAGTCTGAGTAGGCAGGTATCTTACATGTGTGAAATATAGTTAGCTTTATTTTATAATTTAAGTTTATTGTCAGGTTTCTAATGTTTACAAAGCAGTGTGTTTCTTTTTATTTTCTATTGTATAGACCAAGCTGAGGAACTTGTAGATACATTCTTTGAGGTTGAAGTCGAAATGGAAAAAGAAGTCTGTCGTGATCTAGTCTGCACTTCTCCCAAAGATGAAGAAGGTCAGTCAATGTTATCTTCTGAAGTTATTTTAGTATAGCAGACTAAATTAAAATACTAACAATTGTGTTCACAATCTTAGCATGACTTTCAAAGTGTGGTTATCTACTAAAAGTGTATATTTTCTCTAGTTTGTGCATATTAATGCTATGATTATAATGGAGTATGTATATCTGTAGCTATTTCTCTTTTCGTTGGCAGAATTTTAAGGTAAAAATGTGTTTTCTGGGAGGCAGGGGATGGCTTTGCAGATTCTTATGGCTTTTTGTTAGGTCTGCCTGCCTTATCACTAGTCCATAGCCTTCATTAAAAAAATCAGTTTGTCTTTTTGGGCAAAGTGTGAAGGAGGGGGAAAAAAACCCCTGTATTTGTTAAATAAGGAAAATACCCTGGAGACAGCCAAATTCTGAGAATAAAAAAAACCTTTTGTTTGTCTTGGTTTTGAGACACTAGATCTGTCTCAGGTTTACATCAGTGCTGCTTATATTAATACGTAATTAATACTGTAGATTAACTGTGGTGAAGGCTTTTTTGTTTTCCCTCCCTAGGATTCCTAAGGGATCTGTGTGAGGTTTTACTGTATATATTGCTACCTCCTGGAGACTTCCAGAACAAGATCATGCGATACTTTGTCAGGGTAAGTACAAACTCTAAAAACCATCCCAGTTCTTTGGTTTAGTGCCGTAAAAAATTTTAGATCTGAATGGCTCTTCTTATTTTATTTTGTAAAATTGATCTAACTTAATATTAGGTTATTTTAAATGCATCCAATTTTGAGAAGTATTTAATAGCAGAGAACAGTTTGTGTGAAATTTTTTTAAGTTACTTTTACCTGTAGCAACGTTAGAAAGGTGTGATAAAATGGATGTTGTTTTTCTTGAGATATTAGTGTCTTCTAATGTTAATGGGAAAGGAGTGTGTTAGTGCCTATTGAATGTTTTCTGTAATTACATATTTTTTTATTTCACCTCTACGCAGTGATATTTAAATTGTTGCAGTTACTAGCTTTATGAATACATGTATAAAGTAATTTTCTATATTTTGTTTTTCAGGAAATCCTCTCCCGAGGAATTCTTCTTCCTTTAATAAACCAGCTCAGTGATCCTGATTATATTAATCAGTATGTCATATGGATGGTAAGATTTATAATGTTTGAAATGAATGATATTTCCAGAATATTTAACCCTTAATAATTTAACTGAATGGGAAGAAACACAGTCTTTACTTTGATACCTCTCTAATACACCTGCAAAAAAACCTCCAGACTTTTAAAAGTAGTAATATGTAACAAAATCAACAGAAATAGAATATTCAGAGTTTCATTAATGTTATTGATTTTTGCAAAGCAGGTTTAAACTTACTCTTACAGTTTATTATTCTTTATAGGTCATGAATCAAGTTTAATATTTTTCGTTTTCCCAAGTTCTCTCTACTTTTGTTCACATATTTTAGTCTTACAATGCGCACTCAAGCACTATGCTGAAAACACCCTTGAATTTCAGAGTGAAAGTTCTTATGCAGGGAATGAATTCATGTGTACACGTACAATGTTTCCTTCACTCCAGCCACCTTCATTTCATGGAAAAATTTGCACGCTACTTTTCTACAGGAACCTAGCTTTAATGAGAAAAAAATACTGCTGCTCATATGGACGCAGATTTTCAATTTTTGTTTACCCTTTCCACCTACACATTCTTTATTTGTAACTTGGCCTCATTTTTCATTTACTGAGCACTGCCCCCGGCTGCATCCAAATATAGATTTCTGAGGTTTTTTTTAAAGATTTCTGTTACGTTGGTGATGTCCCAAATATTAATTTTCATAATTACTTTCTGAGATGAGGAAGTAAATGTGATGGGGGAAAGATAAGGAAGAATAAATGCTGTCAAAAATTTAATACAAGTCTTAGAAAATGAAGATTGTTGCAGAAATTAAGGTCAGAAGCAGAGATGAGTGAAATAAATTCTGGCTGCTTGTGGAACCTTTGACATCAAATCAGATTTGAATGAAAAACTTCAGTTTCTAAAAATGAGAAGCTTAATTTCGTGTTTCTAGACACACCACAGTTCAGTACTAATTCTCTTGCAATGAAACATAAAGCTTCCATATAAAATTAGAAGTTAATCTAAACTTGTCTCTCTTCAATGTGAAATTCACATTTTTACAGAAGACTTGCAGTTCAAGTATTGCGTGTACTATTACTTGTCAAAGCAGGTTTCTAGGAATGTTTTGCATTAACTGGTCAAAGGCATCCAGTCTTCATCCTCTCTGCTCCATGCAACTCATGTCAATGCATTTCTGCAGTACAGACCAAGTATTACATTTCTATATCAAAGTGAGCATTTACGAAAGATGTGGGTGAAGTGACTTTTTTTTGGCCTCAAATGGTAAAGACAGCATTAGAACTCAACCCTCTGCACCTGTGTGCACGTGCTGTAAAGCTGCCAGCCTTCCCCTGGTCTCCATGCTGCATTCACAACACACTTCCCATGGATCTCGGCAGCACAGTAGGCTTCCTTCACTTGCACAGATTCCTTTGAGTCCCAGAGCAGGTTCACCCTATGCCAATACTGGGAAAATAGTATATGTTGAAATCACCTAATAGTATTTACAAGGGTGCCTGAATTATCAGAGTTTCAGAGAGGATATTAATATAGTCATTTCCTTTTTTCTTCCTCTCTTGGTAGGTTATGGTTGCATTGCAGAATGTTTTAATTATTTTTGTCATTCTGTATCTTAAGAAGCCATTACATTGGGAACATGTACACTTATGGAGGACCTTGGCAAAGCTGATACGTTTTCAGTGGTCTCACCAGTTTCTGCCTACTTAGCTAAGGAGATAAGTAATAGAAGAAGACTGATTGGGTTTTGGACAAGATCTTCGTTATATAGGCTGACGCACTTTCCATGTGTCTTTGTTGTACTTCTTGAAAACAGAAAATGGTGGTGTGAAATAGTTGTTGACAGTGTGCATGCTTCCTGTTCTTGGTCCATGTAAAATTTTAGTATCATAAGGAAGGTTTAGAAGCATTACAGTGTTTTCAAAATGCCACTTTGCAGTGCCGTATCAAAATAATTCCATTAAATGAAAAATCATGTCATGTGCTTTTACCTGTTTTGCATTATTCACACTGTAGAACTTCTGTTTCAGATTCGTGATTCCAACTGTAACTATGAGGCCTTTATGAATATTATTAAATTAAGTGATAATATAGGAGAATTGGAAGCAGTGAAAGATAAAGCAAGTGAAGAACTGCAGTATCTTCGATCGCTAGATACAGCGGGAGATGGTTAGTACTGTATTGTTTTACAAAGTACGAAATGTGTTTGCCACCATAATCTCTGAAGAATATTCCAAAAATTTAAAAAATCTAAAACTCTGATGCAACATAGTATAAAATATTTTGATGTTTAAAAAATCAATAAATTGCATGTGAAGTATTAAAAATTGCATCCTCATTAGTGGGTTTAAAAAAAAATAATAGACTGATTGGTTAGGTGTGTGTACTGCTACCGAAATGAAACTTCCCTAACTGATGGTTCTGAATTTCACTGATACTTCAGGTATTGATGTGTAGTCAGTTAACAGTTAATCTGAAAAAGGAAAGAGAAAAATATTTCTTCTTATTCACTTGGTATTTAAATGGAAAAAAAAAATCTTCTCTTCAAAGCTAATGTGTTTTGTAAGTCGTATGTCACTTTTTGTATGATAGTTTAGAGCATTTCAGGACAACAGTTAATTACTCATCTGCATTGCTTAATTCTCTTTGGTTTTGCTTTCAGATATCAACACTATAAAAAATCAAATAAACAGTTTATTATATGTTATTAAAGTATGTGATTCAAGAATTCAGAGGTTGCAATCGGGAAAAGTAAGTGTTACAGATTTTTTTTTAGTTCTGAAAGAGAGAATCTGCAAATAACTTACTAGTTCAGTCTAGCTTTTTAATTCTTGTGTTTTTAAAACACATCTTGAAGTATGCAGTTATAGGAATATATTATACAAGTGAAGTTAGTCTTGTATTTGTATTTGAAGTATGGAAATAGTTTCTAAAGGTTCACATGTTTAGAGTTCTTTTGATTGTGGCTTTAGCAGTTTGCATGTGTCAGTACATCTTAAAACTATTCTCTTCCCTTCTCAATACAAGAGTTAACCCAAAATATTAAATAGATGCAAAGCATCTTTGTATTTATACACCTAGATTCAGTTCTTTTTTGCTGCTCCAGTGCATACCTTGTGTGCCTCAAGCTTAGTCTTTGGCAAAGTTCACTTTACTTGTTGATAAAGATACCACGTACTGATTATTTTGCAATGCCTTGTAGGCTCCATGTATTGCCTTTTGTCAGACATGTTTACCTCTTTAGGTTTAAAAGTCTTAAGGAAAACTGGATGTTAAATCAGAGAAACTCAAGTAGTTCTTTTTGCTTGTTTTAGGTTCTGGTTTGTATTTTAAGGCTGACAGAGTCAGTATGTTTGGCTTCGCTTAGTTTCTTAATTGGACCTAGATGTGACTGTAAGATAATGTAATCTTGTGCATGTTGGCTGTTACAACGTTGGAAGTATTCTACAGTTGGATCCAGAAGCATTGCAGTTAAAACCAAGAAATGTTACATTAACAGAAGAAAGTTGGGCAGCCATGAACTGAAGTTGTGGTGACCTGCACCCTGTCAAATTCTGAAATTAGTTCATGTTGTTAATTCATTGTCATGTTACTGTCACTGTTGGTGAGGATTTGGGGTTAATTTGAGCTGTACAGTATTACGTGAACGGCACTGTTAAAAGCCAGCTTCCAAAAAGTAGCAGAAATCATCCATATTGAAGGCAAATAGTTATTAGAACATTACTTATGATCTAGATCTTCACCTGTTGGTGATTGTGAAAGTAAGTAACCATTGAGAGGCTGCTATATTATGTGTAACGTAAATTATTTTTTATCACCTCTGCTTAGTAGTAAGCGGAAGTTTTAAAAGCTAATTTTTAAAAAAATAAAGCCTATGAACACACTGAACTGTGTCTTACAGGAAATAGATACTGTGAAACTGGCAGCAAACTTTGGAAAACTTTGCACAGTCCCTCTGGACCATATTCTGGTAGACAATGTTGCACTACAGTTTTTTATGGGTAAGAGTTAATTTATCTGATACTTTTTATTTATAAAGAATATGCTAACTCACAGAACTGTGCACTTGAAATCACTAAATATAGGTGTCTACTGATGTGTTTAAGCCCCTTGCCAGAGGGAACCAAAACCTTTTTTGTAAATCAGTCTGTAATTAACTGTTCAGAACACCGTACTCATGACTTCCAAAAGCTTGTATCAAGCTTGTCTCAATACTGATCTCTCTGTAAGACTGTTCTTGCAATGATTCTTGGTCTGTCACTTTGCAAGTTTGTTCTGTTTAGAACAGAATCATTGCAAGAATTGCTTAGAGTTTTATAACTGGAATGATTCTGAAACTTACCACAGTTGTTAGTCTTACTTTTGCTGGTCTCACTGAAGCTATTGGAACTAATGACTATAGATGTCAGATTGAAGTTTAAAGAATTACAAGGCCACTGAAGGTGGTCTATTTGAGAAGCTAAAGTACAGCAGAAATTTATGTACTCTTTTAGGTTTATCATATAATCAAGTAATTGATAGATGGATTAAAGTTGTATAATTTGTAATACTTTCTAATGTTTGATTCTCTTCTGTGAATTATTTGGCTGCTGATGGTCATTACTAAGAATTTTGATCAGATTTGTTTGTGGTGATGGTCCTTTTAATACAGTAGATGCACATGGTTTGTTAGAATTCCAGTTTGAACTTCCTCTCAAATTGTATCATGCTGTACAAGCCAGTTGCATCCACACAGTAGTGGTGGATTCACTTTTTACATTTGCATTTTAGGATTCTGTGCTTAGTTCCTAGACTTTGCTCCCCATTTTGTTTACTTGGTATCACCAATCTGTATATAGTACTTTTTATTGCTTGACTCTAGATGACAAGTATTCCAGATGTGTAACCAAATCCTGGAGTTCCATATGTAGCTAATTTCATAGAGAATTCTTATTGTAAGATGCACAACAATAACTATAGTTGTGTGGTGGCTGTTTTCTGTAGATTACATGCAGCAGACTGGTGGCCAAGCACATCTGTTTTTCTGGATGACAGTGGAAGGATACAGGGTTACGGCACAGCAACAGCTGGAGGTACTTCAAAGTCGGCAGAAAGATGGAAAGCATCAGACTAATCAAACCAAGGGTCTATTAAGAGCAGCTGCATTTGGAGTTTATGAGCAATATTTGTCAGAAAAGGTATGAATAACTTATTTCTGCATGGTTTGGAATTTATTCTTTGTACAGATGCTTCTTTGGTAGTTATGGCTACATTAATATGAAATGGATGTGAAGTAGCACAAGTTGTTGACAAGTTAACATTTAAGCTATTACTTGTGCATCTTCTCTCTCCTTATGTCAAGCAATAAGACAATGTCTTCCTTCCCCCCCCTCCCCCCGCCTCCCTTCCCCTCCATTTAAAAAGGCTCATACTAGCACTGATTATCCTGTGAAATGCACTAAATGTGTTCCTCGGAAGCTGACTTTGTAGAACAGAGAGAAACTAGAGAAAATGTGAAGACAGAATAAGAAATTCTGTCTGTTTGTTTGCACTGTGCCCTTTCGTTTTACCCTGCCCCCTCCTCAGGATCCGCCCCCCCCAGAGGAAATGTTTTCAGAAAGATGCAACCCAGTATTTTTCACAAATTTGGATTTAGATTGGGATTTCAAATGAATTAACTTCCTGTGCCTCTCTAGAAGTGTCTGTATAAATTGCTCAAATGTCACCATTGGGAATCGAATTTCAATAGGCTGAGCTTGAATGCTTCCAGTAGTCTTCTAATAAAAATCACCTCTCAAGTCACTCAGAAATTTCCCTTAACAAATTACCCCTCAAATCTCCTGTAATGCTTCTCTTTCCACATAATTTCTTTCACTTTGGTTTTTCACGTCAATGGTCTGTTGACATGGTGGTATTTAGACTGTGCAGAGCTTGCTCTGATGGGTTTTTGAACTGACGGAACGCTCACCAGTTTGAAGTCAGAAGCCGCCTAACACCAGAGCCATTCCAAAGCTGGTAAACTCAGCTTCTCAGCTATGCTTATGCAGTTGAGCTATGTTGGGTTTGGTTCAGTGCTGGCTCCCTGTCTCCATTGCAGAAAATGGGGAAAGTACGTGAACTTAGGCCCAGCTAAAAGAATGCTTTGTGGACAGTGGTTTGAAATATGTCATACCAGTGGATGACTGGGAATCTGATGGCTGCTGTAGTTATTATGCTAGTAGCTTTACTGTAACAGCTACTGTTAATCTCTCCAGAAATTGGTGGAGCTGACTGTTAGCCTTTCCTCAGATACTTCAGGACTTCGTCCATTTAATTTTACTGGCCTGTTCTTAATTTCTGAATCCAGATCTTTCTATTCATAAAAATACAAAATCTATTTTTAAGTCTGTATAAATCTGGTTTAGATATGCTTCAAAATAATGTGCATAATTTTTTTTTTGAGGTGGTTCTTAGTATTTAATCCTGAAACTTCTGAGTTTTAATACAAACTCGGAACTTAATTTTGGAAGGAGGAGGTGTTCTGACTCCTGTTGTGTGTTCTAGACAGTTCTAGAGCTAGAAATACTCACCAACAAGAACTTTAGTTTTCTTAGAGAATTGCAGAATTGTGTTGGATTTTATTTGTGAAAATAGAAGCTTTCTTATTTTTAGGCTACAAGTGTTGATTTAGATCTCTGTAACAGGCATCTCCAAGAGTTAATATTGATGACAACTTAGTAGCAAAACTGGCAGAAACACTCAACCATGAGGATCCAACACCTGAAATCTTTGATGACATTCAGAGAAAGGTATACTCGTTTCATCTTGTATTTTGTGAGAACTGTTAAGGCTATAGAGTATTAATGTCATGACAACCATTGAAGAAGGAAGGAACTCAAATACCTGAAACAAAAACTGTTTTACCATTTTCCTATTCTATAAAAATCATAAATTGCCAACTTCTGGTTAGCCATATGTAGCCTATGGTTTTCAAAGCAATAGACAGAGAAAGAGTAGGTGTCCTGTATGAAATTAGTAATGAAACACAATTTAGAATTACAGGGTTATTATTTGTTAATGCACCAATTTAAGAAAATGTGCCTGTGTAGAATAACTAAGTGGTACAATTTTGATCCAGTTTTAGCTCTCTTTTTCAAAGGTGAATGTAAGCATGTTACCATACTAAATTTTACATCTCTTTCCAGAAGTTAACTTGACTGTTCAGTTTCTGCAAGCCTGCACAGTGTAGCACTCAGAAGCAGCAAGTACTGAAGATAAACCAGTGTTTTATTACCTGCATACTCAGACTTTGTTACTAAATTCTAATACATATATATATATATATAAAAAGTGAATTATTAATATTCTGGCAGTAAGTTGTACACCCAGTCTGAGAGTTTTTTATTTTAGGTCATTAATATCTCATTCATGGTAAAAATTAGTGGTCTGAACTGTAGAACTTAGAATCACACTATTGTACTTGAGGCCCACATTTAAGACCAGTGAAAACACCTTGTGAAATCTGTATTGCTCAAAGTAGGTTACAAGGGCCTTGCCTGTGATCTTTGCTGAAGAGCGTAAATTTCTCATGTTACAAAAGAAATTGACTTCCTTAGACCTGCATGGAAATTTTTTCCATTACCAGGTGATAGCACTTGTACAAAGTGTTTAATGAAAAATAATAATTATCATTAAAGTATTGTAGAGTTTACATGAATATCCAAACGTTATGAAGTCATTGCCACTACATATAGATACATGAGTGTATATGCACTGTCACTATGTGGGCTATATAGATAACTTTTTGAGGTGGTGTGGTGAAATCTTTGTGAGGTAGGGTTACACTGTATTGGCTGAGCTGGAAATTTTCAGGAAAATGGTACGCAGTGTCTCCCCTCCCTTCGTTTCCCTTTCCTCACCTCTCCCCCTACGAGTTTGCAGGTTTACGTTCATAGTTTATCAACAAAGGAAGACTCTGAGAGATAACGTGTTGTGAAATGGGTAAAGACCAAATATGTTTATAGTGCAGTTCGAAGGGCTAAGAGGAGAGGGAGGAAACATTTGCAGTTAACATGCTGCTTTCCTTCCTGCCCATGTACGTCTCGCTAGTTAGAAAGGTACTTTCTGAGACTGTATTATACTTCCAGCACAATTAGTTCTCATAACCTTGCTGTTAAGAGTAAGACTGAACTGCAGTTTCACGAACTCGCATTAGGGTTTTAAAGGAAACCCAGAAACACATGATAGAATGCATAGATACATGTTGCTCTAGTGGAATTTATGAAAGCGTGTCTGATTAATTAAAAAAATGTAATAAGTATTTCTAAGGTTGGTATTTTGATTTCAATAGGTGTATGAATTGATGCTGCGAGATGAAAGATTCTACCCTTCGTTCAAACAGAATGTGCTCTATGTGCGTATGTTAGCTGAGCTGGATATGCTGAAGGATCCTAGTTTCAGAGGATCAGATGATGGTGAAGGAGGTGAGCTCTATATCTGTAAGGAGGATTTCCTGGGACCGTTCCTCCTGCTTTAAAATGAAAATAAGAAGATTATCCACATTGTTTGTGAGAAATCAAAAAGTTCCTGTAGTATCTCTGATTTTTGAATGAATGTTTCCTCCTTGTGCTTTTTTTTTGTAAATTGCTTTGGGACTCAAATAGGTTTTTTGCTGTAGTAACTGTATTAATCTCTTGTAAATTTTTTGTCAAGTCTTGGTGAAAAATGCATCATTAAAAAAAGTATGCAACTCCCTAATTCTGTTTTGATTCAGAAGTACTTGAGGTTCTTCACAATGTTGGGTTCTTTTAGTATGTAACTATATTCTTCATCTGGAAACAGAAATTGAAAGTACATAGGAGATGTGGCTTTTCAAAGCAATTAAAATCATTCTTCTTGTACAAGTCTAATGGCAATTGTTTAACTATTAAACTGACTCATTAATGAAGCAATTTCATGTGATGATATAAGCTTAAAAAGGAATGTTCTCTGGAGCATTAATTTCATATCTATAGCTGAATAAACTTACATACATTTTCCTTTAGGCGTCTTTATTGGAAGCATGAAGTACTTCCATGTTTGACGCAACATTTTGCCCAATGCCACAGCTGTCCGTTATTTTCCAGAATGTGTTGTCTTTGCACTTTTATTTCTTGTGTGCGGCCCTGCATTGGAGAAAATCTTCTAACTTGGTTTTTTTCCTTTCCTCTTCTTCACCACTCACAGAATCTTTTAATGGGTCTCCTACTGGCAGCATAAATCTGGTAAGTGCTTCGCTAGAGGTTTCGCAGTTTAATTTATGAAAACGTAGTTGAATCAAGTTGAAACACACATAAAATATCAATTAATCTGTAAAAGAAAGCTGTCCTGTGCTTTCCTCTGTGTTTTAATGAAATTTTGCATTGTTTCTCACAGAAGACGTAATAGTCTATAGTTAATTTATGCAAAGCATACTTTGGAGTTTGGTAGTAATAAGCAAAAACAAATCCTTTGAAACTGAAACCTCAAAGGATTAAATCCAAATAGACTGTAAAATTTAATTAGATTTTTATGGGTTTATTATTTTTTGGAGTTTAGGACTTGGAGTCATAAAGTATCTGGAGTTTATCTATTCAAAATATGAATCTTTGTTTTCTAATCTGACTGTTCAAGTTCAATTTTTGGTATTATGTTTTTTAAGCAATTCTTGACTGGGTCAGTTTGTCAGGACCTTTTCTTTGTTACATGACTGTACCTAAATACTTGAATTATGCTTCTGCGTGTACTAGTGGTTGCATGTGTATTAAGAGAACTGTATAGTTCTACCAGGCTTTTTCCAAATAATCTCTCCCACATAGATCTCATTAGCTTTAAAATATTTTAAAAATGTTTTCAAATCAAATCACGGTTACTTAAAGAGGAAAAATTGTAAAAAATTTGATGTATTTCCTCCCCTCCCTCTTATTTGTTTCTTCAGACTATGTGTGGCTGAGCCACAAGATAGGCAAGGTTCAGTTGTGCACATGAGAGTATTTTTCCAAATCTTTTAGTTCTAGAAAGGTTTGCAGTCTGCATGCAATATCCTGGCTCATGTGATTCATAGGCCCTTCTAATTCATTCTTGGAAGATGCTGTAGCTCATCAGGGGTTCCAGTGCACTGGTTAGATCATGCTTGCACACAGAGGAATAGCGTTTATTTTGTGAAGGAATACGTTTAACATAAATGTGTTTCCTTGTGGGAGTAGGTTGGTTGTTTCTGGGTTTTGTTTTGGTTTTGTTTGGTTTCCTGGGGTTTTTTTTGAAGTTGGGTTTTTTTTTTCCCCGATTGTTTTCTTGCATGCATTTTGAAGTAGGTCAGCTGATACAATTTACACAAACTCCTGTTAGATGCAGAAGGAAAACTTAGTTTAGCCATATTTTTTTTATAAATTTACATACAATTCTGGTAACATTTTGTGAGAGATTCTTTTGACTAATCTCTTAAAAAGATCTGTCAAATGTCTCTTCACTACTTTTTCTAAGAATGTTCTGACATACCAAAGTCATTTTTTATGGATGGGCATTTGCTCTTCTGGCTAGTGGTTATCTTCTGTTTAGTTTCATGTGGCCTTTCCAAACTAAGCTAGAAAGTCTTAAAGCCTTTGTCAAGTACTATTGCAATGCAAATAGATGTTTGCATGGAACAGTTCCAAGTCTTGATTTTTTGTTGTTTTGAGAAGTATATTTGCAGAATACGACATTCATTATTTTTATAAAGAGTGAAGAACTTTCTAGCAGAAATGCGTAATAAAGCTCTGTGTACGCAGAAGAACTTTTGCTTTTTGTAGTCCGTATTGTTCAGGGTTTTCAGTGCTTTTACAGGTGTTTGAATACTGGTAGATTAGTTTTTCCTGGCTGAATTCCATGTCAAGAGTAAATTTCTGTACACATAGTTCAGCTCCCTTGTGTTAGTCAGTTACCTGAAGAAAAATAGACCTTCGAAAGGTTACTTCAAAGGTCGGGGAATTTCTGTACTTTTAGCTTATGACAGTGCATTAAAGAAGATCGGGTTATGGTGTGATATTTTTGCGTTTTAGTTAACTTGTGTTCCCGTGAATATACCTAATGGCAAAGATATTAGGTCATGCTAAATGACCTAAGCTGTTGTGTTATCAGTTCAAGTTTCAACCATTTCATTTAGTTGTGTTAATTATTGCTGTTCAGTGTCTTGCCTCAGCAGTTGAGTGTTTCCATTATAAAATACATTGCCTCCAGTTTATACTTTCACTCTAAGAATATGTTTTAAGATTATTTGGAAGAGATGCTCAAAACTATTTTGAGGATAAGTTATTTTACAGAAATACCTTCTTAATTTCTGCCTTTTAATTTGACATACTGATCTACTATATTAAATTAGTAGGGCATATTTTGGGGATATAAAAACACTGTAGAATATTTATAGACTCTTGCAGATTTCATCTAAACGGATCCACAATGTGAGCTTTACATACTGCTTTTGCATTGAGTAAATAGGAGTTACACAGGTGTTACATATCCAAGACCTTGAATGGCAGCAGAAATGGCTAGGTTGAACTTCTGGCAGTCATTAGTGTATGTCAGTTTGAACCCCCTTCAGTTACCAAGAAGAAAACTGAACTGTCAGAGTGACAATGAAGGGAGGCAGGAAAACAAGAAATAATGATGCCTTTTAAAAAATACAGCAGTACTTTAATGTCAGTATTTCATAACAACAAAAATATTAGAGCAGTTGAGTGTTACTTGTTTAGTAACATCCCTTCCATATGACTGATAAATCCTAGAGCTCAGAGAATATCAAGCACTTATCCAAGATTCCACAAATTCCTGTCATTCGTCGATCTCAGGTGATATTCTGCTTGTAAATTTGGACACTGCAGTATAGAGCACACCTTACGGTGTAATTGCTGTCCAAGGGTGACTTGCTTAAGAATGGGTTAGGTCAGAGAAGGTCTAGCCCTATATCCATCAGTGACCAAAAGCAGGTGTCTAATGAAGATTCTAGGAACAGTGCACCTTCAGTGATACTCTACCAGAATACTCTCCAGCATCCAGTAACTTAAAGGTTTGGGAATTCTTGAAGTAAAGATGATGTCTGCTCTCAAAATATTTTTGCATGAGTTCAGCTGTTCTAGCATTGAACCATAAATTTTTAGCACTATAACATGCAGTAACAAAACAGATTTCCCAACAGGCTCTTTGTTCTTCTACCTTTTTTCAGTTTGAGACTTTTGTACTGTAAGTCTACAAGCTGTATCATGAGATAGTTAGGAAACTTCTTACTGCAATACATGTTAAAGCCTAGTGAGTGTGTTCAGATGCTTTTAACGATGCCATTTATTTGGTATCTAGACTTTATAACAGAAATGTAATTTCCCTTGCTTTCCATAGCGGATATTTAGACAGAGACTGATTGAGGTGGCTGAGGCAGAGAAAAGCCGTTCCTCTAGAGAGCCTGAGAAAGAACAAGTGGAGTATTATGTTGGGATATTGTCATAGTTTAACCTGGCAGCCGGCACCTAGGCACTAGAGAGCTGCTCGCTCACCCCTCCCCTTTCCCCCTCATCAGGGTGGAGAGGAGCAGTGGACAAAAGGGGAAACTCCTGGGTAGTTTCATAGATAAGACAACAACAAAGGAAATACTACTACTATTACTACTACTAATAATGAACATGCAAAACAATCTATATACGATACAATTTTTCTCAGCACCCAATGACCGATTCACAGCCAGTCCCCAAGCAGAGATCTTTCATGAAACTCCCCAAAAAGGCCACACTCATGGGAAAGTTCAAGCTCCTGGACAAGAGAGAATTCAAACTCCTGGAAAACCGAAAAGCTGATAGCTTTCTCCCCTCAGCCAACCCCCATTCCTAAACTGAGTGTGATGTTTATGGTACAGAATATTTCCATTGGCCAGCTTGGCTATCTGTCTGAGTATGCTACCTCCCAGCTCCTGCACACCTGCTCATTAGCTGAATGTGAGAAACTGGAGAGAGTCCTTGATTTTATAGCAACAACTGGAAACAATAGCATTCTTCTCCTACTAAATCCAGAACACAGCAGCCACTGGGATGAGAATGAACTCTGTCCCAGCCAAAACCAGGACAGTTATCGAGGAGATGATAAAGTTTCAGATCAAGAAGGAGCAAGAGCAGAGTCTTTAAATAATTTACATTTTCAAGTCCAACGTGTCTTTTGATTATAATTACGTGAGATTGGTTTATGTCTAAGGAAACAAGAGTTCAGAAGCTTGATTGGCTTATATTGCGGTTGTAGTTTGACACAGGTATGGCACTGCTACCCAGGAGGTCCCATTCTAGGTAACTTTTTGTGGCAGCTCACTATTAAACTGGCTTGGTTAAATTGTAAAAGATAACTGATAGCTGCATAGTCATTCTGAATGTGTATCTATGAAGAATTTTACAATTTGGGGGTAAAATATATAAAGTAGCTGGGATCCCAGTGCCTGTGAATTCTACTTAAGTGACTCCATCTGTTTTTTTCAGCCTAGTAATTTAAGATTAGGATGACATGCGTAGTGGCCCATCCTCTTTCAGTTGTGTATCCAAGTTTTTCACTCAACAGTCTTGCAGAGCTTAGTTATGTTAAATCTTATAGTCAGAAGTGTTAATTTTAAATAATTGCAAAGCTTCTCTAAAAGACCTGTTAGGCATCTTTTGATCCCAGTAACTACTGAATAGGGAGAGAGGGTGTTAGCTGGCTGAGGATGTACCTGTTCACTTTTTACAAGAGAAGACGTTTCTGAGAAAAGTGTTGGCTGTTTTTTGCGTACAGCAGAGAATTTATTCAAGTTTTACTGCACTGTAACTTTTGTGGAGTGCTTTAAGTCAGTTGAAAGAAAACAGAATAGTATAAAGATAAAACCAAAAGATCTGTTATACAGCATCTGTATCTCCACAGTTGTTCTTTTTGGGGTATTTTTTTTGTGTGTAGTTTGTTTGTTTGTTGTAGTGCTTAGTAAAAGGCTATTAGTAGCTGTGCTTCTGTTAGAGTTGAGCTATCAAATGAAAGTGGCAAATATGTTGGAGTGATCACAAAACTGTGTGAAACTGGTAGGAGAAATGAAGGGCCCTACACTCTATGTAAAAGAAAGGCTTTAGTAACCAGGTAATACAAACACTTATTTACATTGTTACAGTGCATTAAGCTGTCCTGTTAGTGTAGCGAACTGAAAGTTTAAATGTTATATAGATCAATCAAAAGTATCTCTCAAATGAGATGTATCTGTGATCTTATTCTCTCTTGCCCATTTCTTGCTTCTCCCCTCTCTCCCCGACCCTGCAGTCCTTAGATGACCTTTCAAACGTCCCTTCTGATGACACAGTTCAACTCCACGCATACATCTCAGATACCGGTAAGTAAATCTGTTAGGATGGCTGCTTACTTGTTGTCCACCATTTATTTGGGGTTTTTTAATAATGCAGGCCCTTGAAATCCTAATCCTTTCATCTTTTTTTTTTAACCTCATAAAACATTTGAATTCATGTTTCTTATGAAGTCCTTGTAGTGGATATCCTTACAGAATTGGTGCTGTAGGTCGTAAACTATATATCTGTACTTAAAATGTGATTTAATTTTTGGTTTATCATGTTATTATTTTTCCTATCTTTGGAAATAATTAATTAATATTTATATCGAATAGTGTTTATCTTAACAGTTATTTAAAGAACAAATTCTGAAAGGCGTTTCTTTCTTTTTTTTTCTTCCCCTAGTCACACAGTTCGAATTCTTGACTGTTTACTTCTCTCACTATAATATTGTCCCCTATTTTTTGTGCTTCCTTATTGACTTAGCTTAATTTAAGGTAGTGACTTCAGTCTTTACAGTGGTGGCATTTTTGGTTATCTTTTGAAAAAGTTGCTTAATAATAAATTTAAAATTTGTGTTATGTGGAAGTAAATAACAAAAACTCGGATATTATTTGCAAAAATTCTAGTTGGATGAGATTGCACTGGGTAATTAAATTGTGAATTGATTTTCAGATACTTTTTTTTTTGGTAGATTTTACTGTACAATAGATTTTTAAATCTATGCATTTATATAGCAGACACGTGAGCTATGAGCAAGAATTCAATTGCTTGACGTTATAATTAACCTGTGTTACTCCAGCCCAGTGTGAGAGCATGGCGCAATCCAAGTCTTGCGTAGTCAGTCCTCGGAGAAGGGGAAAAATCATTTAGAAGTTGAGATTCACAGTTCTGCTTTTTCATTAAAATACCATGTGATACTCTTTTCTGAATTTAACTTGGAACTTTCATTGTTTTGATCTAAGAAAAATGGTAAACTTAGAACCACACAAGTTATGTTAAATTTAGTATCTTGATGGCAGCGTGTATTGGTAACTATCAACTTGACTCTGTGAATCCATAATATTGTAGTTGAACCAGGGGAGATATGTACAGGTTCATATTGTAAGATAGGATTAAACTGCACGTCATCTTTGTCTTTGCCTCATGTTTTAACAAGAAGTAAAAGTCCTTGCTTTCTGGACACTACAGGCAGTACGTGCATCTTGCATCTCTGTGCAGGCTCCTTTTCTCTGCCGATTACTACCTTTTACTGTGCTTGTGGGGTGTATACAAGATCATCTCCATAATGTTTGAGGATTCACCTTATCTTGTGTTGAAGAATAAATGCTGATTAGGAGGCTATGACAGAATCATAGAATCATAGGTTCGAAAAGATCTCTAAGATCACGAAGTCCAACTGTCATCCCAACACCACGATGCCTACTAAACCGTATTCCGAAGTGCAATATCTACACGTTCTTTGAACACCTCCAGGGATGGTGACTCCACCACTTCCCTGGGCAGCCTGTTCTAATGCCT